TTGGTTTTTAAAAACACATGAACAGTACTATAATCCTACAGGAAAGGGGCCAAAAAATATCTCCAAAGTGTCAAGGAGACCTCATCTTACTTAGGGGGAAACTATTTACAGACACGTAGCGAATACCTTCTTGGTAATAACATATATAAAATAACAATACACTGACCTCCAAAAATGAGCACGAAAAGCCAAGAAAACTTAACGAAACATGATGGGTAGAAGGCCTACAAGAGTTCCAATGACGAGGGTGAAAAACGGCATGAAAAGGTATTTCTGAGAGATGAGGCCCAAAACTAAAATCCTAGCACTAGAGAAGATGAAGCAGGTAGATCATGAGCTCAGGACAGCACAGCACTGGTGCCACATTCTAAAATATATTCTTTTGGGTAAACAAATTGTCACCTTTCAGCCAAGCATCCCACAGGGAAAGGCACAGGGATCGCTGTTGGAAAGACACACTGGGGATTGTCAAGAACATGCAGGGCAGAGAGGAAGGAGGGGCACACAGGGACAGGGAATAGACAGTGAGAGAGAGAGGCTCAGACAGGGAGAGAAGCAAATCGGGGGCAGAGAACCTGGGGGGGGGGGCAATGATGACAGAACTGTGAGGGAGGAAGGCCCTGGGAACCACTGATAGAGCTTGAAATAGACACAGTGGAGGGGAGGGGGAGAGAGGTGTGAGAAAGATGCCGGGAAGTGAGGAAAGCGAAGGTAGGGAGAAAAAGGAGAAGCCCTCCAGGGACGACCCACCAGTCGGCAATAACGTTTAAAATCTACGGAGGAAGGGACGGCTGGTTATAAAATAAAAACCTCAAATAACATAATAAGAATGTCCGTTTCAAATCTACGGAGGAAGGGACGGCTGGTTATAAAACAAAAACCTCAAATAACGTAATAAAAATGTCCATGGGGAAAGACGCCACCGAGATCGACTCGTGGGGTTACAGGAAAAATACCGAAGTCAGAAAGTTCTAGAAGACCCTCGACTGACTACCTTCAAGTGAAATGCCTGAGACGAAACCCTGGACTAGGTTTGAGGTTGTGTAGCTCCGTTCGTTTCAGATTACACTACACAGGTTTTTGAGGATATCAGAGGAAAACCAAATCAAATACATACTATGGGTCTAAGCTGTTTTTGTCAAGATAGACAACATAAGTCCATCTGTATGCAAGGTATTTGGACATGTTGGGGAATATTTTGTCTCTAAACTCTCAACTCTGTGTTCCAAATTTTTTAATTAATTGAAACATTTTCAGGGAACTAAAGTCAGACTACTTTCTCAGTGCTTTAGTGATATACTCCAAGTACTAGAATAAGGGAGGCAAAGACAACATGTGAGGGAAGAGAAAGAACCCTTTAAAATCGCTCTGTCCTATGTTATTATACTTCCAATCCTTCTGCCCCTTCCTTCTGGCATTCCCTCTGGCCTGGTGTCTTTGATGTTTCTCTATATTATGGCCATACTTACTCCTACTCCTCCTCCTCCTCCTCCTCCTCCTCCTCCTCCTCCTGTAGTCTTGGGTTCATGTGCAACAACTAGTTGTCTGAGCCCAGCAGGTTGTTTTGCAGTGCCAGGATCCTGAGAGATGACCAGGGAATGAGTAGTTAGAGAAGATAAGGAAAGTTTGGTATCAGGTGTACATATGCAAGCTGACTGCTGATGCAGGCATCTTCATGAGGAAATTCTGCATCCTACATAATTTTCCTGAGAGGAAAACTAGGACAGTGTCTGTAGAAATCCTCATACACGAGACGGAGTAAGCAGGAAGACGATGATGCACATAGGCAACACAGAAAATCTCAAGTGAGAACTGAAGTGAGCACAACAGAGAACACAGGAATCATACACATAACCTCTCAGGGGGCAAACACCCTCGTTCTCTGGATCCAAAGTTACCACCCCCTTTAGGGCCTGACTCCATGCCATTACTGGATTTGTCAAGCATGTAAGTGGTTTCAGACCAGGATATCAGTTTCTTCTACACATATCTGTGCCTGAAAAAAGTACAGAGACAGGTCAAGAGCCACAACTCATTCTCAACAGGAAACATCAACTAAGATACAACACAAATATTCATAAAGATATGCTGGGCCTGAAATTCTTGAAATCAAGAGAAGGAGGAAGAGCCCAGGGGTCAAAAGAGAAGGATGTTGAGTATCTGTCACGTACTGCGAATACATGCTATTTGTGAGACTCAGTATGTGTGTGTGTATAAATAAACATATATGAGTAAGTACATCAAAATATATCATTTAACTCCCAACACAAATCATAAAATACTTACTGTAAATGACCACACTCTCAAACCAGCTTCTTTATAATAGAATTCGACAAAGGTTTCAAAGACAAAATCACACAGCACAACACAGGCAAAAGGTGGTAAATGGAAATGCTTGGAATGAGAAAGAGGTTATTTGTAAAGAGGCAATGTTGGGGAAGTCCTGTGTATATGTTAATAAACCACTGTTGGCCAGTAGGGAAGCAAGATATGTGGGACTAGGATTCGAGGAGTACTCTGGGTAGGAGAAACACAGAGAGTCAAGATGTAACCACCATAGGTATAAGAAGCCCGGAAACTTCTCCGGTAAGAGAAATGCTTACATTAACAATTATGGGATGAATACTTAAGTCAGAGCTAGCCATTAAGAAACAAGCAAGGCCAACAGCTTAATAATTAATACAGCGTCTTGTGTGCTATTTGAGGACTACAACACGGCAGAGCCCAGGCAACTGGTGGGGAAAAACCAAGCGGTGGCAAGGAAAAGGCTTCTCTTCACAAGGCAGGACAAAAGAGAGAGTTAAGTTTGCAAATGCGGCCCACAGAGGAACTGGGTAAGAAAGTAGTATAGGTATCAAAAGGGAAGAAATCGGGGGAGAAGGAGGAATGGACCATGGAAGCCAGGAAGGCTGTGAATGTGAACAAGCCTGGGTGAAGGGTAAAAGGAGAAGGAACATGGGACACACAGAGAAGAGGCCAAAAGGAAGGAAAGAAGCTGGGAATGCAGAAACAGACAGAAGGAGAATCAGGGTGAAAGGAGGAACATGCGCAAAGATCTGTGACGGGAGAAACTTGTGCGGTTTCTAAAATTAGTCATCTGGACACGGTGCTAGCCCAGGACTGTAATCCCTGGCCTCGTGAAGCTGAAATAGGAGGATCTCGAGTTCCAGTCCACCCTGATCTACACAGTGAGTTCCAGAAAACCCAGTAGCACATGGACAGGCAGTATAGGCAAAGGAAATGAAAGTAATCACCATCATCAGAATAAGGAGGAAGACGATGATGATGTCTATATCAGTAATAATTACAGAAATAAAATAATGGAAACCTAATGAAGGCTGTGGAGCCAAGAAAGGTAGAGAAAGCTGGAACGTGGTGATAAAGGATACTTGACTTAAAAGGGAAAGTGGATAGGGAGTTTTTTTTAAATGGAAGGAGAGGAATAACATGGTAAATGGTGGGAAAAATTAAAAAGTGTGAAGGGATAAATGAAAGGGGGCTTAGACTAAAGAACAAGAGTTGGAAATTTGGAAAGGGATGTAAAGATAACAGGGGAAGGGAAGAACAGGGAGAGGATATGGGAAAGTAGAAGTTAGAAGAAGAGGCAGAAATGGGGGAGATGCAGGCCAAAAGACACAGATATAGACAGAGCAACAAGCAATAAGAAAAGATCAGGAGGGGATACAGAAGGACAAGGGAAGAGGATGTGTAGAAGCCAAGGTTAAGGAAGAAACAGAGAAAGACACTGAAAATACAAACTCAGAGTAATTTAAACCCTGCTATCTCGTGCCATCCAGCTCTTGGGAGGCAGCCATCAACAAGGAGAAAGGAAAGTCATGAGTTCTGGGCAAACAGGAAGAATGAACAAATGAACAATGGAACGAACAAATGAGTGAAGAATAAACAAAGGGTTTCACTGGGACAAGGAGCATAAGGAACTGTACAAACCAGTGATAATGACTCAAATTGATGCAGCATGCACATGTTATACTCACTGTCAAAGATTCTGATGTTCAAAAAATCATTTGTGAAAAGGTCTCCAGTAGACAAAACTTACTAGTCTGACAGCACTAAGAGTTGACAAGAATACAAACAGAATCTTTTAGAAGGTTGTCTCTCAGAAATAGAACCTCAGTTCTATTTTAACCCTACCCTATACAAGAGGTAGTCACTCAGAAATATAGCTCTCAGAAACAATCACATGTATTATTTACCGTGAAGTATGTATTTGAAAAAAAAAACCAGGTAAGAAAGTAACAGACCTCAACAAGTTATCAAGGATCCTCACAAAAGGGATTTTATGATCTAATTAGGTAGCCATTCTCGGGACACTATCTTTGTACGGCTGTTTTTCAACATCAATACTTTACACAGAGCAGACCAAAAAAGGATGATTCTGTGCAGGTTAGCATTATTTAAATGCCCACAAATGCAAATACCCGAAACAGCCTTCTTTCCTTTCATCACAGGCACCACTGATTGGATATGATCTGGGGCTGCTGTCACAGGCCTCTACTCCAGCCAGCTGCCTGAAAGTTTTCAGGAGAGCAGATTACTACTTTGAAATGAACCTAGTGACGCAACAGTCACAAACCTGTCCTAGGCCACTTCCAAGAATATTGTTTCAATGTTAAAAATGGAATGATACACAAGAATGGTGATTTTCTTCATGGAAAAGTCCTGGATATGCTGGACAAGGTTGGAGTTTATTAAGTATCAGACCTATCTGGGGCTTCATTCTCAGAGGCCTAAAATATGTAGAAATAACTGAGTTCTTCTCTAAAACCAGGTACCTAATATAGAGCGAAGGATCAATTTAGGGAATCTCATGCGGCAACTAAGACAAAAAATAGACATATTCAAAATCCTATTCCTGTGAGGCATCATGAAGCAAAAGTAATTCAAGACCTGAAGCTGCTTCCTCATCTCAGTCCCTCTTCTCCCTGTTGATTAGAAGTTTAAGTCCTGTGTGTTTGAGAGTACACTAAACAGGTACTTACTCCTCTTCCTCCTGCTCCATCTCCTGTAGTCTTGGGGTCATGTTCAGCAATCAGTTGTTCCAATTCAGCAGGTTGTTTTACAGTGCCAGGACCCTGAGAGAGATGACCAGGGGAGGAATAGTTAGAGAAGACAGGGAAACTTTGGGATTGGGCGAACTTCTGCAATCTGACTACTGATGCAGGCATCTTTATGAGGAAATTCTGCATCCTATATATTTTTCCTGATATGAAAAATGGGACAGCGTCAGTAGAAATTCTCATATATGAGACAGAGTAAGCAGGGAGATGATGACGCACATAGGTAACACAGAATACCTAAAGTGAGACCCAAAGGGAGCACACCAGAGCACACAGGAATCATAAACATAGCCTCTCAGGATGCAAAGATCTTCATTCTCAAGATCAAAAGATATTGCCCCCTTTAGGGCCTGACTCTAGGCCATCACTGGACTTGTCAAGCATGTAAGTGGTTTCACACCAGGATATAAGTTCTTTCTCCACACGTCTGAGTCTCAGAGAAGTACGCAGACAGATCAAGAGACACAAATCATTCTCAACAGAAAACATCAAATAAGATACAACAGAAATATTCATAAAGATATATTGGGCCCGAAATCCTGGAAATCAACAGGAGAAACAGCCCAAGGGTCCCAAAAGGGTAGAGGGATGACTATCTCTCAAGCACTGTGAATAAATGCTATTGTTGAAACAGTGTGTCTGTTCATGTGCGTATGTGTGTGTGTTTGTATAAACAAACATAAATAAACATGTACATCAAAATATATCTTTTAACTACCCTGACAAGGCATAAAATAGTCACTGTAAACAACCACATTCTACTTTGTAGTAGAATTTGACAAAGGTCTGAAAGAAATAGTTACTCAGCACAACCTGAGATGTAGAAAACATGATCCAACCTCTCTTCTACTCCATTCCATATAAACTGAGAGGAAATCTGAAATCAGGGAATGGCAAAGGACCCTGTCAAAGATCCCAGAATTATGGAAGGCTCATGAGGGAAGATGGCTTAAGTGCAGATAGTTAATGTGTAACCTGGGAACCTAAAGAGACCTATCAACAAGGATGAAAAAAAGACATGGTTTTCAAGTCACAAGGGTAGCTATGATGAATCTCCTAACTTGTACAATTCCTAGGTTTTAATAACAGACATGACTGATTCACACGGTTTTCCAGTTTATTACAGAGGCACTGGAATCCCCATCAAATACCTATTACATTTCCATCTCTATATTGTTTAAACAAAACCCAATACCCTGACTGTACACTGTGAAGGGAAATGGGACACACAGAGTAGAGGCACAAAAGGATGCATATGAGTAGGGAATGGCAGAAGACAGCAAAAGGGGGTGGCATGCAGAAAGGATTATGAAAGGAGAAATGGGAGCTGATTTTAAAAATGGACATCTGGCCAGGATGCTAGTACAGGATTCTAAATCCTGGCCTGCTGAAGCTGAATTAGCAGGGTATCTTGCAATCCAGTCCACTCTGTTCTGCACAATGAGTTGCACAAAATCCAGGAGCACATGGGTGTACTGGCTCTATAGGCAAAGACAAATTAAAGCAATTGTTGTCGTCGTCGTCATCATCATCATAACCAAGAGGATGACTAGGCCAATGATGATATCAGTAACAATTACAACAACAAAAATAATGGAAACCTAATGCAGGATCGAATAGCATAAAAGTTTAGCAAAGGGGGAAAGCAGTGATGAAGGATCTCCTGCCTTGAAAGGGGAAAACCATGTGGGGGTTTTTAATTGGGAGGGGAGAAATACCAAGGTAAATGGGGAAAAGTAAAAAGTGGGAAGAGACAAAAGGAAGGGGGCTTAGACTAGAGGAAGCGAGTAGGAAGTTTGGAAAGGGATGTAATGATTATAGAGGAAGGGAAGAACAGGGAGAGGACATGGGCAAAGAGAGTTAGAAGAGGAGGCAGAAGGGGAGGAGGTGCAGGTCGAAAGACACAGGTGCAGGACTGGGCAGTAGGCAAAAGAAAAAAGAGGAAAAGGATACAGAAGGGGAAGGGAAGCAAAGTGAATGTGGAGAAGCCAAGGTCAAGCAAAAAAGAGTAAGAGAGTGAAAATGCAATATGGAGAGAAATTCTAACGCTCCTAGCTTGTGCCGTCTAGCTCTTGGCAGGCAATCAGCAGCAGGCAGAAAGGAAAGTCATGATTTCTAGATAGGCAGGAGGAATGAACAAATGAACAATGGAAAGAACAAATGAGTGAAGGATATACAAAGGGTTTGCTGGGAGGAGGGGCACCAGGAACTGTACAAAGCTGTTATAATGACTCAAAGTGATGCTATACACACATGAACACTATCAAAGACTCAGATGTTCAAAAAATCCCTTATGAAAGACTCTCCAATAGGCAAAACATAATAGTCTGACAGCATTAAGAGTTGACAAAAATACATACCAACAGAAATTCTTACATGGTCTTCTCTGGGATAAATATATCCTCACTTTAGAACATGTGTTAACCCTATGCCATACAAGAAACAATCACTTGTAAATACAGCTCTCAGAAACAGTCACATGTGATTTCTATGTTCAGGTGCCTATTCTCAAAGCAGCAAATAACAAAGTAACAGACCACTACAAGTTATCAGGGATTCTCACAAAAGGGTTTTTATGATCTAACTACACAGCCATTCTTGGGACACTATCTTTTTAAGGTTATTTTTCAGTGTCAATAAATTACACACACCAGACCAAAGAAGGATGATTCTGTACAGGTTAACATTATCTAAAAGCCCACAAATGCAAATATCAGAAACAGCCTTCTTTCATTTTGTAACAGTCACCACTGATTCAAAGGAAGAAAGGATAGGATCAGGGGTTCCAGCACAGGACTCTACTCCAGGTAACTGTCTGAGACTCAGCAGGGCACACCACCACTTGCAAACCAACCTAGTGACATGACAGTCACAAAGCTGGCAGCATCAGGATTCAGAGTTAAAATGGAAAGATGCACAAGAATGATGATTTTGTTCAGGAAGTCCTGAATACCCCGGACTAGATTGGAGGTTATTAAGGGATAGCAGTGTCTGGGGCTTCATTCCTTGTGACCCTGATATATGCAGAAATAACATAGGTTCCTTTCTTTCTTTCTTTCTTTTTTTTTTTTTTTTTTTTTTTGGTTTTTCGAGACAGGGTTTCTCTGTATTGTTTTGGAGGCTGTCGGTCCAGCCTGGCCTCGAACTCACAGAGATCCGCCTACCTCTGCCTCTGCCTCTGCCTCCCAAGTGCTGGGATTAAAGGCGTGCGCCACCGCCGCCCGGCCATAGGTTCCTTTCTAAAACCAGGTTTATACTATATAGCTAAGGGCCAGCTTAAGGGATTTCATAACTCTACTAATAAATTAAAAAATACTCATATTCAAAGTTCTTGTCCTTTGAGGCATCATGAAGCAAAATTATTAAAGACTAGATGCTGCTTCCTTATCCAGAGTCCCTATTCTTTGTGTTGTTTGGAACTTTAATTCCTATCTTGTGTATCTCTGTTTTTTTCAGATTACAATGACCAGATTTTTTAGGGTATTAGGGTACAACAAAATCATATACATACTATGGGTCTAAGCAATCTTTTATCAACATAGACAGCATAAGCCCATCCATATGAAAGTCTTTTGGGCCTGTTAAGGAATATTTTAACTCTAAAATCTCAACTCTGTGTTCCCATTTCTTTAATTTCATTGAAACATTTTGAGGGAAACAAAGGAAGACTTCTTGAATGAAAGTAAAGACTCATTCTTAGTGCTTTAGTGGTCTAATACAAGTACTAGAATAAGGGAGAAAGAGCTATTTGGAATAGCTCTGTTCTACAATACTATACTCCCAATCCTTCTGCACCTTCCTTCTGACATTGCCTCTGGCCTGCCTTCTCTCATTTTTCTCTGTATTATGGCCATACTTACTCCTGCTCTTCCTGAATCTTCTCCTCTTCTTGTACTCTTGGGTTCATGTTCAGCCACCAGTTGTCCTAGTCCAGCAAGTTGTTTTGCAGTGCCAGGATCCTGAGAGAGATGATCATGAGATGAGTAGTTAGAGAATATAGGGAGTTTGGGATCAGGTGTACTTCCGCAAGCGGACTCATGATGCAAGCATGTTTATGAGGAAATTCTGCTTCCTATATAGTTTTCCTGAGATGAAACATGGGAGATGAGTAGAAATCCTTACACAAGAGACGGAGTAACCAGTAAGCCAATGATGCACATAGGTAACATAGAATATCTCAAGTGAGAACAAAAGTGAATACACCAAAGAACACTGATGCCATGTCATTACTGGACTTGTCAAGCATGTAAATGGTTTCAGTCCATGATATAAGTTCCTTCTCCACATGCCTGTGCCTCAGAGAAATACACAGACAGGTCAAGTGTCAGAACATGTTCTCAAGAGGAAACATAAAATGAGATACAATATTCATATACATATTCATAAAGATGTTCGGCTTGGAATTCTGTAAATCTAGAGAAGGAAGAAGAGCCCAGGGCTTGAAAAGGGAAAAGGTTTGCCTATCTTTAAAGCACTGCGAATACATGCTATTTGTAAGACTTGGTGTGTGTGTGTGTGTGTGTGTGTGTGTGTGTGTGTGTGTGTGTGTGTGCTTGTAAAAAAAACATATATGAACACGAACATCAAAATATATCTTTTAACTACCAAGACAGGCATGAAATAGTTACTGTAAATGACCACACTCTCAAACCAGCTTCCTTGTTTTAGAATTTGACATAAGTCTCTATGAAAAGACCACTCAGCACAACCTACCAGTTAGAAAACATAACCAAAGTGCTCTTTTACTCCGTTCCATATAAACTGAAAGAAATTGTGAAATCATGGAATGTCAAAGACCCTGTCAAAGATCCAAGAAATACAGAGGGCTCACGAGGGAAGATGGCTCAAGCGCAGGAATGTAAGGCCCAACTGGGAAACCTAAAGAGACCTGTAACCAATGACAAAATGGGGGGAAAAGTTTCCAAGTCACAAGGGTAGCTATGAAAGGTCCTAAACTTCAGAGATACTCCTGTTCCAAAACTCAACAAGCTGAACTATCCCCCTCATCTCCTGACCATTTTGCCGTAATTCTTCAAAATCCTCTGTGACTGGAGGCCGTCTCTATGTCTTATGCCCTGGCTTTCCAGGAAATAATGATGACTTCTTTAAGTATCACAAAAAGATACCTGCTTCTAATTTCAACAGGTAAACTATTGTTGGCAAAGTGTATTTTTACATACCAAACCTATTATAAGGCATGGGTAACAGGCAGTCAAAGTTTGCAAGAGGAAGGCATACGAAAACCATGACAAACAACATTCACCAACCAAGAACCAAGAGACTGAAGCAAGGGGGGTGGTAAATACAGAAAAAAGTAAAGATGTTTTCAGATTAAACAATTGAAATATATGTAGGTAAGCAGGCATCACTTGTGAGCATTCAGGCATCTGTACCGGCCTGCCCTTGGGGTTCTGACAGGGTAAGCCCACAGGTAAATCCACTAAGAGCACAACCTGTGCATACTCATTATGTGCCCCTTTAAGAGGGCCCTGCCACTCACATTCTCTTCTCTCTCTGTCTCTCCCCCTCTCTGACTCGCTCTGTGTACCTCCCTCTGCCTCTCCCTCTCTAGCTTCCTTTGACTGTCTCTGTCTATCTCTCAGTCAATTCTGCCCTCCATCTGTCTGTTCCTCTCCCTCTCTCTCTTCTCCCCATCTTTCTTCTCTCCTCTGATTTCCATTTAACCACACTTTCATCTCCCCTGCTACTCCTGTCTACATAGGCTGGTTTAACCCACTTTTATGATCCCTTTGCCTTTCTGAAAACCTCTCAGCTCAAACCCTGTCCGAAGGCCTTTCTCTCAAGGGCCTCTATTCTTAAATTTAAAAAAATCACTAGAATAATTCTTTACAACATCACAGACATGGTACAACAGTCTTAGGAAATAAAAAAGGCCAAAAACTAATGAACCAACTCTCTGTCCAATTCACAAAACACAGAACAAACACAGGACATGTACAGGAACAACTCGAAGGAACTGCCACTGTCAAAGAAATGAAAAACAGAGAATAGACATGAACAATGTAGAGAAATGGTTACAGGAAAACAAGCACACAGGAGCCTTATCTGATGTACTCTCCACCTACAATATATCTATGAACCACATGATGAATCTGCTGACTTGTGCAATTCCTAGTTGTAATAACCAACACAACGGATTCACACAGTCATCAAGTTTATCACACTGGAACAGGAATGGCCATGAAAAACATATTATACTTCTATTGCTATATAGTGTTCACAAAGCCCTATATTCTGACTGTACACCTTCTCCTGGCATCTAACTCATGTAGGCTGACTGGTACTTTGGGTGGAATAGTATTTCCTATCAATGGACTGTCTTGTTTGGTCTACTATTTCATGCAGCATCTACATGTATTATTAAGATGCATCTTAGGGAACCATTCCTCCATTATCTACAGACAACCAAAATTCATACACAATGACACATGCCATCAAGATAGGGCAGACTACTAAAAGTAATGTTATGGTTGCCAAAAATATTGCACACTTCTAGGATCCTACAGAAGAAGGACCAAAAGAGAATACCTCAGAAGTGTCAAGGAAACCATATCTTACTTAGGCAGAAACTATTTACAGACATATACTGAACGCCTTCTTGGTGATAACATAAATAAAACAACAATATAAAATATACACTGATAAAAATGATCACGAAAAGCCAAAGAAGTTAACAAAACATGATGGGTAAAAGGCCTGCAAGAGTTCCAATGACGAGGGTGAAAAACAGCATGAAAAGGTATTTCTGGGAGATGAAGCCCAAACCTACAATCATAGTAGCACTACGGAAGATGAAGCAGGTGGATCATGAGCTCAGGACAGCCCAGCACTGGTGCCATATTCTAAACAAAGTGTTACCTTTCATCATGGCACCCGAAAGAGAGAGGCACAAGGATCTCCGTGATTTTGAGGCCTGCCTGCACTACAAAGCAACTTCCAGCGTAGCCAGGACTGTTAATCTAGAGAGAAACTTTTTTCCAAAAAAAAAAAAGGAGAACAAACACACACAAACAAGTAATGTTCCGCAGCGGGCAGGGTGCTACATTCCTGATATCACAGCACTGCTGAGATAGTGGAAAGTGCATAGAGATTCACAGTCTACCCAAGGACACAGTACCACAATGTTCCATGTCCTGGCTAGGGAGGAATTCGAAGGCCGACATGCCTTATTTCTGAAGAACTTGATTCAAAATTCAAATGTAAAACAGCAACACATTAATTCAGTCAAGCATGTAAGAACATATATACTCCTTAAAGGTAACTGCAAATGTAACAATACAAAATGATACTTCATGGTGGCATATGCATAAATAGGCATGTTACAAAACACAGAAAACAGGATCAATCGAAAAATTAAATTGTGCATTGACATAAACAGCTCCAGGAAGCTGTCATTGGAAATGTAATGCCTGCTGTAAATAAAAAAAGACTTGCATCTGCAGGAACAGAGACATACAAGGAATACTAAACTTACTCACTCTCACATGCATACAAATACACTCTCATACAAACACACATACACACACAGAGATAGAAAGAGACAGACAGAAAGACAGAGAGACAGAGAAACTGAGAGAGACAGAGAGAGAACATGTGCGCAATGGAGGGAGGGAGAAAGGGAGAAAGAAAGACACAGACATTCAATATAAAACTAAACATGAGATTTATCATTAATAATATTGGTCTCTCAAGGTAATACCACAATGAAAAACAATGAGATATCTATATACAACACATGAAATCTGAAGCTACCCAGGCAATGCCATAAGAATACACATCAAAATAATCCCTTACATAATGAGGTAAGTGAAAACTGATACAACAACACCCAATCCACCCACTGTCATCAACAGCACCACATTATATATTCTCTAGTACACAATTTTTACCCCCAAACAAACCCGGGAAAACACGGAAGTCTAAGCATGGGGGAAAATGTGGAGGAAAGCAGAGGTAAGAAATGGACAGAACTGTGAGAAAGGAGGTGCAAAGAGCCTGGAATGAAAGAAGGGAGCTGGAAATGCAGACAGGAAACAAGATGGAAAAGTGTAGGAAAGAGGAAATGGTTTGGGAAAGCAGAGAAAAACTATGAAAAGGAGAGGTGTGGATAGAAAGACAGGGGTGGAGAAGCCAGAAAGCAAAGAAAAGGAGAAAGGGAAGGAAAGAGGATATGGGGAAAGCGGTTGCAAAAGATTAAGATTGGGAAAGGACACCAACCCATCAACCAATCTCCAAACCAGCACACCACCACCAATAAAATGAATGAATAAATAAACACAGGCTAGAATAGGTGGAAAGAGAAGAAGGGAAAATGAATTTTGAAGGGTTGGACAAGAGAAAGGGTTTAGTAAAGGAAATGGTATACAAAAGGGTTGGAGTCCCAGTGTAAAAGCAAAAAAAAAAAAAAAAACAGGGATGGAAAAGGAGAAGACACAGGAAATGGATGGGGAGAGTTAAGGGAACAGGGAAAGATGTGGAAAGGGGAAAGGGGTGATGGTTTTCTGACAGGATAGAATTGGGGAAACTGGAAACGGGTGGTGGTATTTCAGAGGAGGTTGGAGCAGGAAAGAGAATGAAAAGTTCAAAAGGAACAAGGTAAAGGGGTTAGAAAGAGGAGCAGGATGAAAGTGTTAGAAACAGGAACTGGTAAGGGGGGGGGTGTGGGAAGAAAAGCAATGGGAATACTGGAAACGGGCAGGTACTCCAAAGGAGGGAAAATGAGTGGGAACACACGTAAAGGAGCTGACACCTCCAAAGTCAGATGTGCAACAGGACAGGAAGCTGGGAAAGGGAGGAAGAGATGGGACAGTCCTGGAAAGCAAGAAAAAGAGAAAAGTTCAGGTCCAAGGACAGGGGCTGTTGGACAGACACACTAGAACATGCAGGGCAGAGAGGAAGGAGGGGCACACAGGGACAGGGAATAGACAGTGAGAGAGAGAGAGGCTCAGACAGGGAGAGAAGCAAATCAGGGGCAGAGAACCGGGTGGGGGGGCAATGATGACAGAACTGTGAGGGAGGAAGGCCCTGGGAACCACTGATAGAGCTTGAAATAGACACAGTGGAGGGGAGGGGAGAGAGGTGTGAGAAAGATGGCGGGAAGTGAGGAAGGGGAAGGTGGGGGGAAAAGGAAAAGAAACCCTCCAGGGACGTCCCACTAGTCGGCAATAACGTTTAAAATCTACGGAGGAAGGGACGGCTGGTTATAAAATAAAAACCTCAAATAACGTAATAAAAATGCCCATGGGGAAACACGCCACCGAGATCGACTCGTGGGGTTACGGGACAAATAAAGACGTCAGAAGGTTCTAGAAGGCCCTCGAGGGACGACGTCCAAGTGACACGCCTGGGACAAAACAGAGGTGTTGGCATGGACGAATCTCCACAAAGGGTCTACTCACTGCCATGGTGAGCAGAGGGCTCCACTGAGCGGGAACCAGCACTTGGCATCCAAGAAGAAGGCCCACAACTCAGAGAAAGTCCACAAGCCGGCCGAGAAGAAGCCCGGAACAGGCCTGAGGGCCTCGGCGCCGAAGCAGCACGCCCAATGCCCCGCCCCGAACACGGGACCCCAGGGCATTCTGGGAACAGGAAGTGCGCGCCCTCCTACATCGCCCCCTAGCGGCAGCGCGGAAATGGGGGCCTGTTCCCCAAGGTCACAGCCAGCTTTGCAGAAGCTGGCCCCTCCAGCTTGCTAAGCAGAGGCAAATGGCGGGGTTGGAACTCAACCCAAGTAGGGACCTAGCACTGGGGAAGCAGGGATACTGGAAGAACTTAGGCAGGATTTATCACTGAGGCTTAGGTGAGAAGAAGCCCAGTGGATCCCCTGGACAGAGACTGAAGACGAAGGAATGTCCATAACGCTTCTCTTGGGGGCAGTTTAATAAGAACTCTCTACTTCCAAAGGGACTGGGGAAGGGGAGAAACCACAACACGGGAAAACGGCTGTGAAGGGAATCCCTTGGAACGAGAACGAGGACATTTGTAAAGAGGCAGGACAAAGGAGACACTTGCTTTTGCAAATGCGGCCCACAGAGGAACTGGGTGAGAAAATAGCACAGGTATCAAAAGGGAAGAAATCGGGGGAGAAGGAGGAATGGACCATGGAAGCCAGGAAGGCTGTGAATGTGAACAAGCCTGGGTGAAGGGTAAAAGGAGAAGGAACATGGGACACACAGAGAAGAGGCCAAAAGGAAGGAAAGAAGCTGGGAATGCAGAAACAGACAGAAGGAGAATCAGGGTGAAGGGAGGAACATGTGCAAAGATCTGTGACGGGAGAAACCTGTGCGGTTTCTAAAATTAGTCATCTGGACACGTTGCTAGCCCAGGACTGTAATCCCTGGCCTCCTTAATATGAAATAGGAGGATCTCAAGTTCCAGTCCACCGTGGTCTACACAGTGAGGTCCAGAAAACCCAGGAGCGCATGGACAGGCAGTATGGGCAAAGGAAATGACAGTAATCATCATCATCATAAAAAGGAAGATGATGCCGATAGTGATATCAGTAATAATTCAACAAAAAATAATGGAACCCTAACACAGGATAGGAATGTAAAAAAGAAACAGAAAGGGGGAAGCAATGATGAAGGATCTCCTGCCTTAAAATGGGAAAATGGATTATTTTTTAATAGGAGGAGAGAAATACCATGGCATAGGCAGGGAAAAGTAAAAAGTGGGAAGGGACAAATGAAAGGGAGCTTAGACTAGAGAAACAGAGTAGAAAATTTAGAAAGGGATGTAATGACTACAGGGGAAGGGAAGAACAGGGAGAGGACGTGGGCAAAGAGAGTTAGAAGAGGAGGTAGAAGAGGGGGAGATGCAGGTCGAAAGACACAGGCGTAGAACCGGGCAATAGGTAAAAAGAAAGAATGGGCATGGGATACGGGCAGGGCATATGGGAAGGAAGGGGAAGGGAGGGGAGGGCAGGGCAGGACAGGGAAGGGGAGAGGAGGAGAGGGGATGGGAGGGGAGGGAAGGGAATGTGGAGAAGCCAAGGCTAAGTAAAAAAGGAAAGACACTGAAAATACAAACTCAAGGGAAATTCTAATGCTCCTAGCTTGTGCCATCCAGCTCTTGGGAGGCAGCCATCATCAAGTAAAGAAGAAAGTCGTGAATTCTGGACAATGAACAAATGAACAATGGAAGGAACAAATGAGTGAAGGCTATACAAAGGGTTTGCTGGTACGAGGAGCATCAGGAAGCTGGGATAATGACTCAAAGTGATGCTACATGCACATGTAGCACTGTCAAAGATACTGATGTTCAAAAAAATCACTTACAAAAAGCACTGCAATAGGCAAAACTTAATAGTCTGACAGCATTAAGAGTTGACAAGAATATATGCCAAAAGAATCTTTTACATGGTCTTCTCTCAGAGAAATAGAACCTCATTTAACAGCCTCCCTTCATTTCATCACAGACACCACTGAATAAAAGGAAGAATGGATGGGATCTGGAGCTGCTGTGACAGGCCTCTACTCCAGGCAGCTGTCTGATACTCAACAGAGCACACCACCACTTCCAAACCGACCTAGTGACATGGCAGTCACAAAGCTGGCCTGGGCCACTGGCAACAACAGAATTCAGAGTTAAAAATAGAAAGATGCATAAGAATGGTGTTTTTGTTCATGGAAATGTTCTGAATAACCTGGACTAGATAAGACATTATTAAGGGCTAGCACTGTGTGGGGCTTCATTCCCTGTGTCCCTAATATATGCAGAAATAACATAGGTTCTTTTCTAAAACCAGGTACTTAATATAGAGCTAAGGGCCAGCTTAAGGAATTTCATAAGTCTACTAATAAATTAAAAATTACTCATATTCAAAGTCCTTGTCCTCTGAGGCATCATGAAGCTAAATGATTAAAGACTTGGAGCTGCTTCCTCATCCTCAGTCCCACTTCTCTCTGTTGACTAGAACTCTGATTCCTATTTTGTGTAGCCCTGTTTCTTTCAGATTATACTGACCAGATTTTTACAGGTATTAAGAGAACAAAATCATATACATACTATGGGTCTAAGGAAATCTCATGTCAACATAGACAGCATAAGCCCATCTGTATGAAAGTCTTTTAGGCCTAATAGGGAGTATTTTGTCTCTAAACTCTCAACTCTGTGTTCCCCTGTCTTTAAATTCATTGAAACATTTTCATGGAACCAAGGACAGTCTTCTTGAATAAAAGTGAAAACTCTTTCTAAGCGCTTTAGCGATATACTACAAGCACTAGAATGAGGGCGGCAAAAGGCAACATGTGAGGGAAGAGAAAGAGCTCTTTGGAATTGCTTTCCTATGTTATTTTATTCCCAATCCTTCTGCCCCTTCCTTCTGGCATTCCCTCTGACCTGCCTTCTCTGATGTTTCTCTATATTATCTCCATACTTACTCCTCCTGCTCCTGCATCTCCTCTTCCTTCTCCTCCACTGTTGGGTTCATGTTCAGCAATCAGTTGTCCGAGTCCAGCAGGTTGTTTTGCAGTGCCAGGATCCTGAGAGAGATGACCAGGGGACGATTTATTAGAGAAGATAGGGAAAGTTTACTATTGGGTGAACTTCTGCAAGCTGACTCCTGATGCCAGCATGTTTGTGAGGAAATTCTGCATCTTATATAGTTTTCCTGATGTGAAAAAATGGGACAGTGTCCTTAGAAATCCTCATACAAGAGACGGAGTAAGCAGGAAGACGATGATGCACATAGGCAACCAAGTAAGAACCAATGTGAGCACACCAGAACACAAAGGACTCACAAAAAGCTCTCCAATAGGCAAAATGTAATAGTCTCACAGCATGAAGTGTTGGCAAGAATACAGACCAACAGAAACTTTTACATGGTATTCTCTGGGATAACTGGAACCTCACTTTTAGACTATGTTTTAACCCTATGAGATACAAGAGACAGTCTCTCATAAATACAGCTCTCAGAAATAGTCACATGTGATTTCTATGGTCAGGTGCCTATTTTTAAAGCAGCAATGAACAGAGTAACAAACCTCTACAAGGTATTATGGATCCTCACAGAGGGGTTTTTATGACTAAGTAGGCAGTCATTCTCCACACGTTATCTTTTTAAGACTGTTTTCAACATCAATAAATTACAGACAGCAGACCAAAGAAGGGTGATTCTATACAGGTTAACATTATTTAAAAGCACACAAATGCAAATATCAGAAACAGCCTTCTTTCATTTCCACACAGACACCACTGATTAAAACTGATGAATGGAAAGTATCTGGGGCTGCAGGCACAGGCTTGTACTCCAGGCAGCTGTATGAGACTCAGCAGAGCAAAATCACCTAGTGACATGACAGTCACAAAGCAGGCCTGGGCAACTGGGAACAACTGAATTCAGAGTTAAAAATGGAAAGATTCACAAGAATGGTGATTTTGTTCATGGAGAAATCCTGAATATCCTGGACTAGGTTGGAGCTAGCACTTTCGGGGCTTCATTCCCTGTGACCCTGATATATGCAGAAATAACATAGCTTCTTTTCTAAAAGCAGACACATACTATGGAACTAAGGGACAATTTAGATGGTTTTCTAAATCTACTAATATATAAAAATAGATATATTCAAAGTCCTTGTCCTCTGAGGCATCATGAAGACAATTATTAAAAACCCGAATCTGCTTCTTCATCCTCAGTCCCTCTTTGCTCTGTTGATTAGAACTCTACTTCCTATCTTGTGTAGCCTCATTTCTTTCAGATTGCACTGATCAGAGTTTTGAGGGTATCAGAGGACAACAAATCATATACACACGATGGGTCTAAGCAAAATCTCATCAACATGGACTACGTAAGACCATTTGTATGAAACTCATTTGGCCCTGTTAGGGAATATTTTGTCTCTAAATTCTCAACTCTATGTGCCCATGTCTTTAAATTCACTGAAACGTTTTCAGGGAATCAAAGGCAGTCTTCTTGAATGAAAGCAAAGACGCTTTTTCAGTGGTTTATCGGTATAGTCCAAGTAATAGAATAAGGGAGGCAAAAACACCACTTGAGGGAAGAGAAAGAGCTCTTTAGAATCATTCTGTCCTAAGTTATTTTACTTCCAATCCTTCTGCCCCTTCCTTCTGGCATTCTCTCTGGCCTGGCTTCTCTGATGTTTCTCTATATTATGGCCATACTTACTCCTGCTCCTCCTGCATCTCCTCCTCCTTCTGCAGTCTTGGGTTCATGTGCAACAACCAGTTGTCCGAGTCCAGCAGGTTGTTTTGCAGTGCCAGGATCCTGAGAGAGATGACCAGGGGATGAGTAGTTACAGAAGATAGGGAAAGTTTGGGATCGGGTGAACTGCTTCAAGCTGACTCCTAACGCAAGCATGTTTATGAGGAAATTCTGCATCCTATGCTGTTTTTCTGAGAAGAAAACTGGGACAGTGTCAGTATGAGGATACAAGAGATGGAGTAAGCAGGAAGACGATGATGCACAAGGTAACATAGAATATCTCAAGTGAGAATACCAGAGCACACAGGAATCATAAACAGCCTGTCATATTACAAAGATCTTCATTCTCAGGATCCAAAGATATCGCCCCCTTTAGTGCCTGATTCCAGGCCATTACTGGATTATCAAGCATGTAAGTGGTTTTAGACCAGGCTCCTTCTGCACAAGTCTGTATCGCAGAGAAGTACACAGACAGATCAAGTGCCACAACTGCTTCTTAAGAGGAAACATCAAATAAATTATAACAGAAATATTCATAAAGATATGTTGGGCCTGAAATCCTGGAAATCAACAGGAGAAGGAAGAGGCCAGTTGTCATGAAGGGAAAAGGGTTGACTATCTCTCAAGCACTGTGCATACATGCTACATGTGAAACTGTGTGTATGTGTGTGTAAATAATCATTATGAACATGTACATCATGATATATCTATTAGTACACTACAAAGCATGAATTAGTTACTCTAAATGGTCACATTCTCAAACCAGATTATTTTGGTACAATTTGACACAGGTCTCAAAGAAATGGTCACTCAGCACAACCCGAGACTTAGAAAACATGATCAAACCCCTCTTCTACTCAATTCCATTTAAAATGAAAGTAATCCTGAAGTCAAGGAATGTCAAAGGACCCTGTCAAAGATCCCAGATATACAGAAGGCTCAGGAGGGTAGATGGCTTAAGTGCAAGAATTTAAGGCATAACTTGGGAAACAAAAGAGACCTATCACCGAGGACAAAAAAATGACATGGTTTTCAAGTCACATGGCTAATGGGTACATTTCCTAGGTTTTAGTAACAGACATGACTGATTAACACGGTCGTCAACTTTATCACAGAGGAACTGGAAGCACCAAATACCTATTACATTTCCATTTTTATGTTGGGTAAACAAAATCCCATATCCTGACTGTACAACATGAAGGGAAACGGGACACACAGAGAAGGGGCACAAAAGGAAGAAAAGGAGTAGGGAATGGAGAAACAGGCAGAAGAGAGACAAAGGGGGGGATATGCGGAAAGGATTGTGAAAGGAGAAACGGGAGCCAGTTATAATAATGGCCATCTGGCCAGGAGCTAGCACGGGATTCTAATCCATGGCCTCTTGAATCCGAAATAGCAGGATCCGTTTTGTTACAGTCCACTCTGGTCTGCACAATGAGTTGCACAAAATCCGGGAGCACATGGGTGTACTGGCTCTATAGGCAAAGGCAAATGAAACTAATCATCATCTTCATCATCATCATCATCAGAACCAAGAGAAAGAAAAGGCCAAAGGTGATATCCATAATAATTACATCAACAAAGAATAATGGAAACTTAATGGAGGATGGGATGGCAAAAAAATGTAAAGGAAGGAGGAATGCAGTGATGAAGGATCTCCTGCCTTGAAAGAGCAAAACAGATTGGGGGTTTGTAAATGGAAGGAGAGAAATAGCAAGGTAAATGGAGGGAAAAGCAAAAAGTGTGAAGGGTCAAATGGAAGGGACTTAGACTAGAAAACGGGAGTTTGAAATTCGTAAGGGATGTAATGATTTCAGGGGAAGGGAAGAACAGGGAGAGGACATGGGTAAAGAGAGTTAGAAGAGGAGGCAGAAGGGGAGGGGATGCAGGTCGAAAGACACAGTTGCAGGACTGGGCAGTAGGCAAAAGGAGAGGATGGGAAAGGAATACAGAAGGGGAAGGGAAAGGAAAAATGTGGAGAAGTCAAGGATAAATAAAAAGAGAAAGAGAGTGAAAATGCAGTATGAAGAGAAATTCTGATGCTCCTAGCTTTTGCCATCCAGCTACTGGCGGGAAGTAATCAGCAGGCAGAAAGGAAAGATGTGAGTTCTAGGCAGGCAGGAGGAATGCACGAATGAACAATGGGACCGACAATTGAGTGAAGAATATACAAAGGGTTTCGCTGTGACGAGGGGCATCAGGAAGTGTATAAAGGAGTGAAAATAACTTAAACTGATGCTCTGCACACAAATGGAGCTATCAAAGACTCTGATGTGCAGGAAAAAAATCACTTGAGAAAAGCTCTCCAACAGGAAAAATGTAATAGTCTCACAGCATGAAGCATTGACAAGAATACAGACCAACAGAAACTTTTACATGGTATTCTCTGGGATAAATAGAAACTCACTTTAGAATATGTTTTAACCATATGAGATGAGAGACAGTCTCGCATAAATACAGCTCTCAAAAAGTCACATGTGATTACTATGGTCAGGTGCCTATTCTCAAAGTACCAAGTAACCAAATAACAAACCTCTATAAGTTATCAAGGATCCTCCCAAAAGGGTTTTATGATCTAATAGGAAGCCATTCTCGGGACAATGTCTATTTCAGGCTGTTTTTCAACATCAATAAATTACACACAGCAGACCAATGAAGGATGATTCTGTACAGGTTAGCACTATCTAAATGCCCACAAATGCAAATCTTGGAAACAGCCTTCTTTCCTTTCATCAAAGACATCATTGTCTAAAGGGAAGAACAGATATGGTCTGGGGCTCCTCTCACAGGCCTCTACTCCAGGCAGCTGTCTGAGACTCACAGACTACAGCAACACTTCCAATTTGACCTAGTGACACAAAAGATCCAGACTGGCCTGGGGCACTGGCAACAACAGGATTCTGGTGACAACAGAAAGATCCACAAGAATGGTGATTTTGTTCATGGAGAAATCCTGTTTACTCTGGATTAGGTTGGAGGTTATTAACGGGTTACACTGTCTGGGGATTCGTTCCCTGTGGCCCTGATATATGCAGAAATAACATAGATTCTTGTCTAAAAGCAGGTACATACTATGGAGGTAAAGGTCAACTTAGGGGACTTCATAAGTCTACTAATACATTAAAAATAGGCATATTCAAAGTCCTTGTCCTCTGAGGCATCATGGAGCAAAATAATTAAAGACATGTACCTACTTCCTCATCACACTCACTCTTCTCTCTGTTGTTTAGAAGTTCAATTCCTATCTTGTGTAGCCCCGTTTGTTTCAGATTTTACTGAACAGATATTTGAGGATATCAGAGGATGATAAAATAATTTTCATAGGATAGGTCTAAGCATTCTCGTGTCAAGATATCATAATCCATCCCTAAACTCAACTCTGTCTTCCCACTTCTTTAATTTCATTAAACATTTTCAGGGAACTAAAGGCAGTCTTCTTGAATAAAAGTAAAGACTTTCTGAGTGCTTTAGTGGTATATTCCAAGTACTAGAATACAGGAGGCAAAGGCAACACACGTGAAGGAAAAGAAACAACTCTTCACAATCGCTCTGTCCTATGTTATTTTACTCCCAAATCTTCTGCCCCTTCCTTCTGGTATTCCCTCTGGCCTGGTTTCTCTGATTTTCTCTATATTATGGCTGTACTTACTCCTCCTCCTCCTCCAGTCTTGAGGTCATGCTCAGCAACCAGTTGTCCAAGTCCAGCAGGTTGTTTTGCAGGGCCAGGATCCTGAGAGAGATAACCAGGGGACCAGTAATTAGAGAACATAGGGAAAGTTTGGGATCAGGTGTGCATACGAAAGCTGAGTGCTGATGCAGACATCTTTATGAGGAAATTCTGCATCTTATATAGATTTCCTGAGAGGAAAACTGGGACAGTGTCAGTAGAAATCCTCATACAAGAGACAGAGTAAGCAGGTAGACAATGATACGCATAGAATACATCCAATGAGACCCAAAGTGAGCATACTAGGGGACACCGGAATGATAAACATAGCCTCCCAGGGTATGAAGACCCTCATTCTCAAGATCCGAAGTTAGTGCCCCCTTTAGGGCCTTACTCCAGGCCATTACTGGACAGGTCAAGACGCACAACACATTCTCAAGATGAAACATCAACTAAAATACAACAGAAATATTCATAAAGTTATTTTGGGCATGTAATCCTTGATCTCGGGAGGAAAAGGAAGAAGAGGTTTTAAAAGGAATAGGATTGACTATCCCTCAAGCACTGTGAATACATGCTATTTCTGAGACTCTGTGTGTGTATGTGTTTTGTGTTTTTAAATAAATATATATGTACATGTACATCAAACTATATATTCTAACTACCAAGGCAAGGAATAAAATTGTTACTGTAAATGACCACTCTCAAACCAGCTTCTTTGTAGTCGAATTTGACACATGTCTCAAAGAAAAGGTCAATCAGCACAACTTGACACTTAGAAAACATAACCAAAGCTGTCTTTTACTCCATTCCATATATATTGAAAGGAATACTGAAATCAGGGAATGACAATGGACCTTGTCAAAGATCCCAGAAATATGGAAGGCTCATGAGGGAAGATGACATGAGCACAGGAATTTAAGTCCTAACTTGGGAAACCTAAAAAGACCTGTCAAAAAGGATTAAAGCGGGGACAATGTTTTCAAATAACAAGGGTATCTATGAAGGGTCTCACACTCCAGAGACAGCCCTTTTCCAAAACTCAACAAGCTGAATTCATCTCCTGACAATTTTGCCAGAGTTCTACGAAATCCTATTTGTTTGGATAGACTTCTAGATCTCTGATGCCCTGGCTATCTGGGAATCATGATGACTCCTTTCAGTATCACAAGGAAGAAATCTGCTTGTACTTTCAACAGGTTAACCACTGTTGGCACAGTGTATTCATTTACAAAACAAACGTGTAATAAGGCATAGGTAACACGCAGTCTAAGGCTGCAAGAACAAGGCATATGAAAACCATCACAATACCATTCACCTAGCAAGAACCAAGAGGCTGATGCAAGGGAGAGGGAAACACAAGCAGCTACTTGGGTGGTTAATAAATAGGAAAATGTAAAGATGTTTTCAGAATAAGACATCGAAATATAGGTAGGTGAGCAGGCGTCACTTGTGAGCATTCAGGCATCTGTACCGGCCTGCCCTTGGGGTTCTGACAGGATAAGCCCACAAGTAAAGCCACTAAGAGCACCAATGCGCATACTCAATACGTGCCCTTTTAATAGGGCCCTGCCACTAACATTCTACACTCCCCTCCCACTCTGTGTCCCTACCTGCCCCTCTCCCTCACTATCTCTCTCTGTCTCGCTCACCCTCCCATCCTTCCTCCCTCTGTCTGTTCCTCTAACTCTCTCTCCTCCTCTAACACTGTTTCCTCTCTCCTCTGCCTCCCATTCAACCCCCCTTTCTCTCATCTCTCCTGATTCTCCTGTCTACATATGCTGGTCATCCCCCTTCCTTTCCCACTTTTATGATCCATTTCCTTAACTGAAACTCCCCTCTGCTAGAACTCTCTTCTATATCCTCTTTCTCTTGGGGGACACTATTCTTAAATTATAATATCACTAGAGTAATTCTGTACATCACAACTGGCATGAAAACAGGCTTCAGATATAAGAAAACAAAAACTAATGGGCCAATTCTCTGTCCAATTTGCAAAACCCAGATAGAGCAAGTGCAGGAACAACAGGAAGGCACTGCCACTATCAAAGAAATGAAAAACACAGAGGAGACATGAGCACTTTGGACCTCTGTCTTCTGGAAAATAAGCACAGGTGAATGAGATCTGATGAGCTCTCTACCTACAACATGTCTATGGACCTAATGATGATTCTGCTAATCTGTACAAGTCCTAGTTTCAATAACCAACATGACTGATTCACATTGTTATCCAGTTTATCACAGTGGAACAGGAAGGGCCATGAAAAACTTTTTACACTTTCATTGCTAGATAGTGTTCACAAAGCCCTATATCCTGACTGTACACCTTCTCCTGGCATCTAGCACATGCAGCCTGACTGGTACTTTGGGTAGAATACTATTTCCTTTCAGTGGACTGTCTTGCTTGGTCTACTATTTCTTGCAGCATCTACATGTATTCTTAATATACATTTTAGGGAACCATTCCTTCATCATCTGTAGACAACCAAAACTCACACACAATGACATATGCCAACCTAATAGGGCAGAATACTAAAAGTACTGTTTTGGCTCCCCAAAACACATGCACAGTTCTTGGATCCCACGGGAGAGGGACAAAACCAAAATAACTCTGAAGTGTCAAGGAGACCTCATCTTATTCATGCCTAAACTATTTATAGACATATACCGAATACCTTCTTGGTAATAACATATATGAAACAACAATATAAAATATATACTGACTGCCAAAAACGAGTACAAAAAGTCAAACAGCTTAACAAAACATGATGGGTAAAAGTACTGCAAGAGTTCCAATGACGAGGGTGGACAAACAGCATGAAAAGGTATTTCTGGGAAATAAGGCCCAAACCTAGAACCCTAGCACTCGGGAAGATGAAGCAGGTAGATCATGAGCTCAGGACAGCCCAGCATTGGTGGCACATTCTAAGATATACTCTTTTGGGTAAACAAAGTGTCACCATTCAACATGGCAACAGCGTGGGAGAGGCACGGGGCTCTCGGTATGAGGCCGGCCTGCACTACAAAGTAACTTCCAGCACAACCAAGACTGTTAATCTTGAGAAAATCTTTTCCAAAAAAAAAACCCAAAAAACGAACAAACAGACATAAAAAAGTAATGTTACACAGTGGAAAAGGTGCTACATTACTGATATCACAACACTGGTGATATAGGGGCAAGTGCATAAAGCCAAGGACACAGCAAAACACTGTCCCATATCTTGGATACAGAGCAATTTGAAGCCCTACATGGCTTCTTGACGAAGAACTTGATTCAAAATTCAAATGTAAAAAAAAAGCAGGACTTTAATTCGAACAAGCATGTAAGAACATGTTTACTCCTTAAAATTAAAAGCAATTTAAGGGAAAAAAAACCTCATAGGGAAAAATATGTAAATCTGCATATGTTACAAAACACAGAAAATAGGTTCAATCCAAAAATTATATTGTGGATTGGCAGAAAAAGCTCCAGGAATCTGTTATTGCAAATATATATGCCTGCAGTAAGCTAAAAAGACTTGCATTCCCAGGGACACAGACATACAGGAAACACTAAAATTACTCCTTCTCAATGCATACAAATACATACACTCTCTCATAAAACACAAACAGACAAAGAGAGAGAGAGAGAAAGAGACGGAAATTCAAACTAAAACAGGAGATTTATCATTAATAATATTGGTCTCTCAAGATAATACTACAATGAAACCAATGTGATATCTACTTACTAAAACACATGAAATCTAAAGCTACCGAGGCCCTGACATAAGAATACATTACATAAGAATCCTTAACATAATGCTGTAAGTGAAAACTGATAGGAAAATTAACACCCAATCCACAATCTATCATCAAATGCATCAGGTATGTCCTCTCTAAGACAGTATTTCTATCCGCACAATAAATCCTGGAAAACACAGAGGTCAAAGCATGGGGAAAATGTGGAGGAAAGCAGAGGTAAGAAATGGACAGAACTGTTAGAAAGGAGGTGCAAAGGGTCTGGAAGGAGAGAAGGGAGCTGGAAATGGAGACAGGAAACAAGATGGAAAAGTGTAGGAAAGAGGAAATGGTTTGGGAAAGCAGAGGAAAAGCTATGAAAAGGAGAGGTGTGGATAGAAAGACAGGGGTGGAGAAGCCAGAAAGCAAAGAAAAGGAGAAAGGGAAGGAAAGAGGATATGGGGAAAGTGGTTGCAAAAGATTAAGATTGGGAAAGGACACCAACCCATCAAACAATCTCCAAACAAGCACACCACCACCAATAAAATGAATGAATAAACAAACAAACAAACAAAAAACACAGGTTAGAAAACATAGACAGGGCTGAAGAGAAAATGAATTTTGAAGTGCTAGACAGGAGAAAGGTATACAAAACGGTTGGAGTCCTAGTGCAAAAACAAAGCAGGGATGGAAAAGGAGAAGACACAGGAAATGGATGGGAAGAAGAGAGTTAAGGGAACGGGGAAAATGTGGAAAGGGGAAAGGGGTGATGGTTTTCTGACAGGATAGAATTGGGGAAACTGGAAACGGGTGGTGGTATTTCAGAGGAGGTTGGAGCAGGAAAGAGAATGAAAAGATCAAAAGGAACAAGGAAAGGGGGTTAGAAAGAGGAGCAGGATGAAAGTGTTACAAACAGGAACTGGTAAGGGGGGGGTGTGGGAAGAAAAGCAATGGGAATACTGGAAACGGGCAGGTACTCCAAAGGAGGGAAAATGAGTGGGAACACACGTAAAGGAGCTGACACCTCCAAAGTCAGATGTGCAACAGGACAGGAAGCTGGGAAAGGGAGGAAGAGATGGGACAGTCCTGGAAAGCAAGAAAAAGAGAAAAGTTCAGGTCCAAGGACAGGGGCTGTTGGACAGACACACTAGAACATGCAGGGCAGAGAGGAAGGAGGGGCACACAGGGACAGGGAATAGACAGTGAGAGAGAGAGGCTCAGACAGGGAGAGAAGCAAATCAGGGGCAGAGAACCTGGGGGTGCAATGGTGACAGAACTGTGAGGGAGGAAGGCCCTGGGAACCACTGATAGAGCTTGAAATAGACACAGTGGAGGGGAGGGGAGAGAGGTGTGAGAAAGATGGCGGGAAGTGAGGAAGGGGAAGGTGGGGGGAAAAGGAAAAGAAACCCTCCAGGGACGTCCCACTAGTCGGCAATAACGTTTAAAATCTACAGAGGAAGAGACGGCTGGTTATAAAATAAAAACCTCAAATAACGTAATAAAAATGCCCATGGGGAAACACGCCACCGAGATCGACTCGTGGGGTTACGGGACAAATAAAGACGTCAGAAGGTTCTAGAAGGCCCTCGAGGGACGACGTCCAAGTGACACGCCTGGGACAAAACAGAGGTGTTGGCATGGACGAATCTCCACAAAGGGTCTACTCACTGCCATGGTGAGCAGAGGGCTCCACTGAGCGGGAACCAGCACTTGGCATCCAAGAAGAAGGCCCACAACTCAGAGAAAGTCCACAAGCCGGCCGAGAAGAAGCCCGGAACAGGCCTGAGGGCCTCGGCGCCGAAGCAGCACGCCCAATGCCCCGCCCCGAACACGGGACCCCAGGGCATTCTGGGAACAGGAAGTGCGCGCCCTCCTACATCGCCCCCTAGCGGCAGCGCGGAAATGGGGGCCTGTTCCCCAAGGTCACAGCCAGCTTTGCAGAAGCTGGCCCCTCCAGCTTGCTAAGCAGAGGCAAATGGCGGGGTTGGAACTCAACCCAAGTAGGGACCTAGCACTGGGGAAGCAGGGATACTGGAAGAACTTAGGCAGGATTTATCACTGAGGCTTAGGTGAGAAGAAGCCCAGTGGATCCCCTGGACAGAGACTGAAGACGAAGGAATGTCCATAACGCTTCTCTTGGGGGCAGTTTAATAAGAACTCTCTACTTCCAAAGGGACTGGGGAAGGGGAGAAACCACAACACGGGAAAACGGCTGTGAAGGGAATCCCTTGGAACGAGAACGAGGACATTTGTAAAGAGGCAGGACAAAGGAGACACTTGCTTTTGCAAATGCGGCCCACAGAGGAACTGGGTGAGAAAATAGCACAGGTATCAAAAGGGAAGAAATCGGGGGAGAAGGAGGAATGGACCATGGAAGCCAGGAAGGCTGTGAATGTGAACAAGCCTGGGTGAAGGGTAAAAGGAGAAGGAACATGGGACACACAGAGAAGAGGCCAAAAGGAAGGAAAGAAGCTGGGAATGCAGAAACAGACAGAAGGAGAATCAGGGTGAAGGGAGGAACATGCGCAAAGATCTGTGACGGGAGAAACCTGTGTGGTTTCTAAAATTAGTCATCTGGTCACGGTGCTAGCCCAGTACTGTAATCCCTGGCCTCCTGAAGCTAAAATAGTAGGATCTCGAGTTCCAGTCCACCCTGATCTACACAGTGAGGTCCAGGAAATCCAGGAGCGCATGGACAGGCAGTATAGGCAAAGGAAATGACAGTAATCATCATCATCATCATCATCATCAGTATAAGGAGGAAGACGATGATCATGTCTATATCAGTAATAATTACAGAAAGAAATTAATGGAAACCTAATGAATGCTATGGAGCCAAGAAAGGTAGAGAAAACTGGAACATGGAGATGAAGTATCTCCTCATTTAAAAGGGGAAAATGGATTAGGGTTTTTTTAATGGGAGGAGTGGAATGCCATGGCAAATTGTGGAAAAAGTAAAGAGTGGGAAGGGACAAATAGAAGGAAACTTAGGCTAGAGAAATGGAATTGCATATTCGGAAAGTGATGTAATGGTTACAGGGGAAGGGAAGAACAGGGAGAGGATATGGGATAGTATAAAGTTAAAGGAAGGAACAGATGTGGAAGAGATACAGGTGGAAAGACACAGGTGCAGGAGAGGGCAATGGGCAATAAGAAAAGATGGAGAGGAGATACAGAAGGGGAAGGGAAGAGAATGTGGAGAAGCCAAGGTTAAGGAAAAAACAGAGAAAGACACTGAAAATACAAACTCAGACAGAGAAATTGAAACCCTGCTATCTCGTGCCATCCAGTTCTTGGGAGGCAGCTATCATCAAGGCGAAAGGAAAGTCATGAGTTCTGGACAAGCAGGAGGAATGAACAAATGGACAATAGAATGAACAACTGAATGAAGGATATACAAAGGGTTTCACATGGAAGAGGAGCATCAGGAACTGTACAAACCAGGGATAACGACTCAAATTGATGCAGCATGCACATGTTACACTCACTGTCAAAGATTGTGATGTTCAAGAAAATCACTTAAGTTCTCAATTAAGCAAAACTTAATAGTCTGACAGCACTAAGAGTTGACAAGAATACAAACAGAATCTTTTACAAGGTTGTCTCTCAGAAATAGAACCTCAGTTTTCCGTATGTTTTAACCATATAGTATCCAAGAGATACTCACTCAGGAATATAGCTCTCAGAATCAATCATATGTGATTTCTACTGTGAGATATATATTTCCTAATAACCAATTAGAAAGTAACAGACGTCTATAGTCTTCAGGGATCCTCAAAAGAGGATTTTATGATCTAAATAGGCAGCCATTCTTATGACACTATCTTTTTAAGGCTATTTTCAACATCAATAAATTACACACAGCAGACCAAAGAAGGATGATGTACAGGTTAGCATTATCTGAATGGCCACAAATGCAAATATCAGAAACAGCCTTCTTTCATTTCATCACAGATACCACTAACTAAAAGGAATATTGGATATGATCTGGGGCTGGTGTGACAGGCCTGTACCCCAGCCAACTGTCTGAGATTTTCAAGAAAGCAGATTACTACTTTAAAATGGACCTAGTGATTCAAAAGTCACAAACCTGTCCTAGGTCACTTCCAAGAATATGTTTCAAAGTTAAAAATGGAATGTTACATGGTGATTTTGTTCATGGAAATGTCCTGAACACCCTGGACTAGTTTGGAGGTTATTGAGGGCTAGCAATGTCTGGGACTTCATTCCCTATGGCCCTGATACATGCAGAAATAACATAGGTTCTTGTCTAAAACCAGTACATACAATAGCACTATGGGCAAACTTAGGGGATTTCATAAGTCTATTAATACATTAAAGAAATAGACATATTCAAAGTCTGCGACCTGAGAGGCATCATGAAGCTAAATAATTAAAGACCTGAAGCTGCTTCCTCATCTCAATCCCTCTTCTCCCTGTTGATTAGAAGTTTAAGTCCTATCTCATGTAACCCTGTTTTTTTTTGAGATTACACTAAACATTTTTGATGGTATTAGAGCTCGATGAAATCATATTCATACTATGGATCGAAGAATCAAATAAATAACACAAGCCCATCCGCATGGAGGTCATTTGGTCCTATTAAGGAATATTTTGTGTCTAAATAGTCAACTCTATGATGTCATTTTTTTAATTTATTGAAACTATTTCAGTGAACCAAAGGCAGACATCTTGAATGAAAGTAAAGTCTCCTTCTCAGTCCTTTAGCAGTATACTCCATGTAATAGAATAAGAGAGGCAAAAGCAACATGTGAAGGAAAAGAAAGAGCTCTTTGGAATTGCTCTGTCCTATGTTATTTTACTCCCAATGCTTCTGCCCCTTCCTTCTGGCATTCTCTCTGGACAGCCTTCTCTGATGTCTCTCTTTACTATGGCCATACTTACTCCTGCTCCTCCTGCATCTCCTCCTCCTCCTCCTGTAGTCTTGGGGTCATGTTCAGCAACAAGTTGTCCAAGTCCAGCAGGTTGTTTAGCACTGCCAGGATCCTGAGAAGAGATGACCATGGAATGAGCAGTTAGAGAAGACAGCAAAAGTTTGGGATTGGGTGTACTTCCACAATCTGACTCCTGATGCAAGCATGTTTATGAGTACATTCTGCATCCTATATAATTTTACTGAGATGAAACATGGGGCAGTGGCAGTAGAAATCTGCACACATTGAGAAGGAGTAACCAGGTAGCCAATGATGATGCACATAGGTAACATCGAATATCTCAAGTGAGAACCAAAGTGAGCACACCATAGCACACAGTAATCATAAACATAGCCTCTCAGGGTGCTAAGACCCTCATTCTCAGGATCTGAAGTTACCGCCCCCTTTCATGCCTGACTCCATGCCATTACTGGACTTCTCAAGGATGTAAGTGGTTTCAGGCCTGGATATAAGTTCCTTCTCCACACATCTGTGCCTCAGAGAAATACACAGACAGGCCAAGAGCCATAACACATTCTCAAGAGGAAACATCAAATGAGTTACAACAGAAATATTCATAAGCATATGCTGGGCCTGAAATCATGGAAATTAAGAGAAGGAAGAGAGACCAGGAGCCAAAAAGGGAAGAGGTTCGACTATATCTCAAGCACTGTGATTACATACTATTTGTGAGACTTTGTGTGTGTGTGTGTGTGTATCTTTGTGTGTGTATCTTTGTGTGTGTATAAATATACATGAACATTTACATAAAAATATATCTTTCAACTACCAAGACAAGGCATGAAATAACTACTGTAAATGATCACACTCTCAAACCAGCTTTGTTATAGTAGAATCTGACACAAGTCTCAAAGAAAAGGTCACTGAGCACAACCTGAGAGTAAGAAAACATGACAGAAGCTCTCTTTTACTCCATTGCATATAAACTCAAAGGAATTGTGAAATCAAGTAATGTCAAAGATCCTGTCAAAAATCCCAGAAATATGGAGGGCTAACAAGAGAAGATTGCTTAAGTGCAGGGATTTAAGGCAAAACCTGGGAAACCTAAAGAGACCTGTCACCAAGGACTAAAGGGTGTTATGTTTTCAAGCCACAAGGGTAGCTATGAAGGGTCCCACTCGAGAGGCACTCTTTTTCCAAAACACAACAAGTTGAACTCTTCCCCTCATCTCCTACCATTTGCTAGAGTTCTGCAAAATCCTATATGTTAGGATGGCCATCTCTATATCTGAGGCCCTGGCTATCCAGGAAACATGATGAGTTCTTTCCATATCACAAAGAAGATATCTGCTTCTACTTTCAACAGGTAAACTCCTGTTGGCACAGTGTATTTTTACAAACCAAACCTATCATAAGGCATGGGTAACAGGCAGTCCTAGGTTGCAACAGCAATGCATAAGAAAACCATGGCAAACTATTCACCTAGCAAGAACCAAGAGGTTGATGCAAGGAAGACAGAGAAACACAAGAAGCAGCGTGGGTGGTAAAACAAGAAAAAATAATGATGTTTTCAGATTAAGATAATGAAATAATAACCACCGGAGACCTGAGGACTGTGCACAGCTAATCCCAGCCTGCCTGGATTCACTCTGCCCAGAGACTGCCAGCTTCCAATTCCCATTCTCCACCCACGGGACCTGTGAGGGTCCAGCCTACCCAGAGATTGCCAAGGCCCTGATACTAGGATGGCCTCCATCCACACAAGAGGAAAGCCATCAGGGTATTGGACCTGCTCCTACCCTTTAGAAAGAAAGGAACCATGGTAACATACTCAACAGGAAAAGAAGAGACTCCTTCCGCACCAAAAGGAAGAAATGATGGGAAGGAGACAATATAAAATCACACCCAGCATCAGAGAAACCAATATGACACTTCCAGAGACTAGAGACTCTACACCCTCAAGACGTGAACAGGCCATTGCAGATGAAGCAGATGAGAAAGACCTTAAAAACAACTTCATGAAAATGATAAATGCCCTCAAAGAGGATATGAGAAAATTCCTTAAAGAAATTGAAGAAAAAATGCAAGAAATGGAAGAAAAAACAAACCAAAAAATTCAAGAAATTGAAGAAAAGACAAACCAACGAAACCCAAAAACTGCAACAAAGAGAAGAAAAGGCAAAGCAAAAATTGCAAGAAACAATTCAAGCAGTGCAAGGGTTGAAAACTGAAATAGAGACAATAAAAACACAGTCTGAAGGAAAGCTGGAAATAGAAAAGCTGGGCAAACGGTCAGGTTCTACAGATGCAAGCATAACGAATAGAATACAAGAGATGGAAGAGAGACTCTCAGGTGTTGAATATACACTAGGGGAAATAGATTAATTGATCAAAGAAAATCTTAAGTCCAACAAATTCCTAACACAAAATTTCCAGGAAATATAGGAAACCATGAAAAGACCAAACCTAAGAATAATGAGTATAGAAGAAGGTAAAGAAAACCACCTCAAAGGGACAGAAAACATATTCAACAAAATCATAGAAGAAAAGTTTCCCAACCTAAAGAAAGACATGCCAATGAAAGTACAACAAGATTGCAGAACACCAAAGAGAGTGGACAACACAAGGAAGTCCCCTTGCCACATAATAGTAAAAACCCCGAACATACAGAATAAATAAAGAACATTAAGATCAGCAAAGGAAAAAGGCCAAGTAACATACAAAGGCAAACCTATCAGAATCACACATGACTTCTCCATGGAAACTCTGAAAGTCAGAAGGTTACACTATGTTCATAGCAGCATTATTTGTAATAGCCAGAACCTGGAAGCAGCCTAGATGACTCTCAACTGAATAGTGGATAGAGAAAATGTGGCACATTTACACAATGGAGTACTATTCAGCGAAAAAAAACAATGGAATCTTGGAATTTGCAGGAAAATTAAGGCACTAGAAGAAACCATCCTGATGAGGTAACACAGTCACAAAAAGAGAAACATGGCATGTACTCACTCATATATGGATTTTAGACTTGAATCAGGGGAGTGCCAGCATACAATCCCACTGCCAGAAAGAAAGGGAAAAAGAACGTTCGCCACGTGAATGATGGAAGCAGAGGCAGATACCCACAGACAAACACTGAACTGAACTAGTATCCAGTGTCAGCAAGAGACAAATGATGGGAGTTAAGAGTGGGCTGGTTTAACGAACAAAAACAGTTGGCCTGAACAAAGGGAGCTCGTGGACTCCAGATTGATGGCTGTGTGGAAAGCATGGGACTGACCCAGACCCCCTGTATGTGGGTGTCTGTGAGGAGGCCTAGGTAATCTATGGGGCCTTGGGTAGTATTTATCCCTGGTGTTTTAAAAGGACCCTGCCACTAACATTCTCCTCGTTCTCTGTTGTTCTCTCCCTCTCTGTCCACTAACATTCTCCTCTGTCTCTCTATGCCGACGTCTCTGACTCTTTCTGTGTCCCTGCCTCTCTCCCTTTGTAGCTCCCTCTGACTATCTCTGTCTCTCTTGCTCTCTTCATCCCTCCCTCAACCTGTTCCTCTCCCTTTCCTCTCTCTCCCTCTTGTTCCCCTCTCCTCTATCTATAATTTTCCCCCACTTTCATCTCTCCTGCTGCTCCTGTCTACATCGGCTGGTTTCCCATTTCCTTTCCCGTTTTAATGAACCCTTTCCCTAACTGAAAAATCCCTCTGCTTGAACCCTGTCCCATGCCCTCTTTCTCTTGGGGGCCACTATTCTTAAATTACAACATCACTAGCATACATCTTTACATCATCACTGGCATGGGTAAAGAGGCTTAGGTAATAAGAAAGGACAAAAACTAATGGGCAAACTCACTGTCCAATTCATAAAACACAGAACAAATTAAGGAAGTGTACAGGAACAATTCCAAGGAACTGCCACTATCAAAGAAATGAAAAACACAGAGCAGTCATGAGCACTGTGGACCTCTGTTTGCTGGAAAATAAGCAATGGTGAGCCTGATGTGATGAGCTCTCCACCTATAACATGTCTATGAAACACATGATGAATCTGCTAAACTGTACAACTCCTAGTTTTAATACCCAACATGACTGATTCACACAATCAAGTTTATCATAGTGGAACATAAAGGGCCATGAAAAACCTAATACACTTCCTTTGCTATATAGTGTTCCCAAAGCCCTATATCCTGACTGTACACTTTCTCCTGGTGTCTAGCACATGCAGTCTGGCTGGTACTTTGGCTGGAACAGTACTTCCTTTCAATAGGCTGCCTCGTTTGGACTACTATTCTTGCAACATCTGCACATATTCTTAATATGCATCTCAGGAACAATTCCTCCATCATCTATAGACAACCAAAACTCATACACAATGATATAAGTCACCATGATGGGGCACAGTTCCAGGATCCTACACAACAGAGACCTAAACAGAATACCTCGGAAGTGTCAAGGAGACCACATCGTACTTAGGCAGAAACTATTTACAGACATATACTGAATACCTTATTGGTAATAACATATATAAAACAGCATTATAAAATATACACTGACTGCCAAAAATGAGCATGAAAAGCAAAAGAGCTTAACAAACATGATGGGTAAAAGGCCTGCAGAAGTTCCAATGACGAGGGTGGAAAACAGCACGAAAAGGTATTTCTGGGAGATGAGGCCCAAACCTAAAATTTTGGCACTAGGGAAGATGAAGCAGGTAGATCATGAGCTCAGGACAGCCCAGCACTGGTGCCACATACTAAGAAATACTCTTTTGGGTAAACAAAGTGTTACCTTTCATCATGGCACCCGAGAGGGAGAGGCACGGGGACCTTGTGAGTATGAGGCATGCCTGCACTACAAAGCAACTTCCAGCACAGTCAGGAACTTTAATCTAGAGAGTAACTCTTCCAAAAACACATGAAAAACCTAATTCACAAACAAGTAACATTCCACAGTACACAGGGTGCTACATTTCTGATATCACAGTACTCCTGAGATAGCGGCAAGTGCATAGAGACTCTTGAGTTTACCAAGGGAAAAGTAAGACAATGTTCCATGTCCTGGCTAGAGAGCAATTTGAAGCCATATGTGGCTTATTTACAAAGAGCTTG